CCTGTTTTTTCATTTTATTACACGATTTTTTTTAAATCAAAATCAGCCTAAATATATTCTATATACACATTTATAATATATTATTTATAATTCCGATGTGTTATAAGAAAGGTACGCATATGACGATACATTGTTCGGGAAATAAAAATATGCATATCAAATGCATATGTAATAGGATTACATTGAAATTCCCCCATAAGTGAAAGGCTCGGTGATAAAATGAGACGACAGAGAAAGTTTCTTAATCCGTTGTACGCAAGGTGTTGTGCGCACGCGGCTTAATATGAAATTTAATTATACGATCATAGTAAATACGATTGTTGAATGCATTACATATTTCAAAGTTGTTCTGTTTGTTACTCTTTATCGATAGTCCTAAGTATATAATTAATGAAAATTCAAATTATATTAGTCAAATTAGATAATAATTATTTCGAAAAAGAACAAAATAATACTCTGCAAAGTTTAAGTAAAAGGGTATCCGTCTGTTTCGCACTACATTCATATGCACTATTTAATTTATAAAAATATATTTATAAAAAAAATGTGCATATAATGAATGGAATACATATATCCATTATATATCGATACCCCATTGAAAATCATGAAAAATGAATTTTTCAAACGATCCAATATTCTTCCGCTTCCTCTTTCTTCGTCATCTTCGGCTCCTACCAACCCCCGCCCGCCCTTCCTCTTCACCCTCCTCTCGTAACATCTTGCCGTAAGTTATATCAGCAAGGACACCGATATCAAGGCTACTCTCTGGCCCCTTTTATCGACACGGTAAATATTTGAAGAAAGTTCGCTGCTTGCCGCGTTGAGATCGGTAATCCTGCATCCTTTACACGGACCTTCTTCGATCGAGGATCGTGGTTAACCGTGAGAGATGTTTGCCTGGCTCTTTAACTAAGATTCCGGCTCAACCGGAGAAGCATTTAATCGAATTTCTCTGTAGACTTGCTGCCAAAGCTTCGTTATACATTTCTTTCATTTCCTTCTTTTTTTTTTTTTATTATCTTTTTCCTAAGTTATGAGTAGTCATTTGAGAAATTGATATTCTTAAAGTGCCGAACAGAAGTATTGACACGGATAAAATTTGCTTCTCTCTCTCTCTCTCTCTCTCAAATAACTTTTTTTATTCGAATATTATTTTTATCTTCGTATGTGTTTTTTAATTAATAATAATTTTATTAATAAATTCTTAATATTATTAATTATTTGTATGAATACTTTATACGAGCATAAAGGCTCGTTTTTAGTTAAACATTATTTTTAATTATTACAACCCATTTGTTTTTTATTTTTTATTTTACATTCATGAAATAAAAAAATTTTTAAAAAAATATTGTACTTATCAATATAAGATCATTTCTGTCAATACTTCGGGCATTATTTATATTTAAATAATTTCAATGAAACACGAAATAATGATCGATGATCCCGTATCKATCGTAACTCGTATCGATCGATCGATCGATCTTATTTTTTGAAAATAATTTTCGTTCATTTTTCGAATCCTTTTATCTTCTTTATTTTTTTTTATTTTTTTATTTTTTTTTTCATTACTAGTCTACGGTGAACTTTATATTAGATCGAGAAGTTAAATCCGTTAGAAAGCGGTTTTCCTACTATTCCCCGCCGATCCAAGTTTTTAGGTTAGAAAACTATCCAACTCAATTTAAAGAGAAATGCCTTAACCTTCGGAAGTTCTGACGTAATGCGTGACAGGCTTTTCAAACTTTCGGCGAATATTCTAAAATAGATTATACGCTACGATGCGATTTTCAAGAATATCGAAAGTATATGTGTACAAACACATATATATACATACCTATATTTCGAAAAGCCATACTCGGTTTACGATTCGATTAAACGTTTTAAGTTTCAACATTTATCAACATTTCAAGAATCTAACTCATTAATTACTTGTAAGTGCTATTCATTATAAATTTTCCATCAAATTAATAAACTTGATTATAGGACCAAAAGTTGTTTATAACAACAATAACAACAAATCAAAAGAAAAAAAAGAAGAAAAGAATTTAGGATTGACTCATTCATAGCTCGCAGTTATTTTGCAATTCTACATGTTGATAAAGTCATTTTGCCTTACACGATATATTCGAAAATATTCATCGTTGTGCCATCTGTTGGTTAAAAGAAGTAATTCATGATGCAATAATTATCACTCTACTATGCCGATGGTATTATAAAAAAAAAAAACCCTTCGAAGGGTCACTGATATTCGAATTGTTTCAATCAACGCAAAAGATAATGAATAAATTTAATAAATATTTACTCAATATATAGCATATGATACTAAACTTCAATAAATTTTAATAATATTATAGTTAAAATTTCACGATAATTATTATTTTATAACATACTTTACTACCTGAAAGTAATGTTTTATGAAAATCTGTTTAGCTTCGCATAAATTTTTGTAATTATTCAAATGAAATAAAAAAATAAGAGTAATATTTAATTTTTATCTTTTATTTCTGCTATTAAGGATAATAAATTGCACGCGTTTAAAATGTACATTTAAATAAAAGTATATTATTAGCATCAGACTAATTGTTAAATTTTATAAGCGATCTATGAAAAATAATAAAATTATATCCTTAATTGAGATGCATAAGTATCCTGTTTAATTTGAATGATATATTTTATATGAGGATAAACGAATTGCTAAAATTGTAATTACAACAGAACCTATATTTCGCATAATTTCTTTACATCGGCAGACCACCTCTCGTACAAAGCTTTCATTCATCAAAACGCTACATCGACTGGCAGATTGATTTTATACTTTCTCGACAAGTATAAGGCTAATATATAAAGTTATATCAGCGCAATTAAATGATGTTTGTATTTTTATAATAAACCAAAAAAAAAAAATCAACGCTCTTAAAAATTCGCTTACTCTGCCTATTTTCTAGCCACATATATAGCAATTAAAAACTTGCAAAGAAAAAAAAATATATATATATATATATTATTTTCATTTGATTATATTCTTATGATCAGCTCGTAGATAAAATTAAGCATTTTTAAGTCAATTTGAGAATTAAAATTTCCAAATTGAAATTTTCAAATTGCAAAAAGCTAATTTTATCCGCGACCTGACGAACATAGGTCTTTTTTTTTCGTTTCATTTTTTTCTTCATCACGTGGATCGAAATGAAAAAAATCCACAAGTAAAGGATAAACGTTAAACGTTGTAGTGCGCGACAAATAAATATTTTATCATAGTTTCGGCCGTATCAAAAATAGAGAGCAAACGATAATAATCAACGCGAATATAAGTGCGCGTTGTTCACGATTTAAGAGTTAAACGAGGTGTGAACTATACGTGTAAAACGCGAAAATATTATAGGAACAATATTTGGATACGACGCATAGTCACGCCTTTTCTTTTTTTTTCTTTCTTTCTTTCTTTCTTTCTTTCTTTCTTTCTTTCTTTCTTTATTATTCCTTCTTCTTTTCATTCACATGACGCATCTTTGGTGACGCTGCAATTTGGCATACTTGTACGTAAAAGGTACTCTCATTTATTCATTTTGCCAAGCTCTTTAACTCTTGTTAACCTTCGAATACGTTTCGGATAAGACCAAAACGAAAAAAGAAAAGCGCATCAATACACCTGGGTACGTTTGTAATTTTTTTTTTTCATATTGTATATTATTATAATAATAATTAAAAAGAAAACGGAAGATTCGACGTTCTTATACTTTTTACGTATGAATATCTTTCTTTTTCTTTCGGTACGTAAAAGTACAATTGACTTTACTAAAATTGTGATATAACAGCCTTATACTTCGCTAATAAAGCTAAAAATTTCGAAAAAAAAAATTACGAGTTTAGAAACCTAAAGTTTCTCAACTTATATGAGCGATACAAACATTTGTATATAAATATGTTATATATATATATATCTATATATTATTATTATTATTATTATTATTATTATTATTATATATCGTTATAANTTTTTATTTTTACCATTAATATTAATATTAATAATATTATATCATCAAAGTACGAAACGCGCGTTCTATCTTTTATCGCAGTTTTTATATATAAATTACTTCTTTTTTTTTTTAATCTTTTTTCAAAATAAACGCCGAATATCTTGTCATCCACACAATTAAGGCACGCAAATATTCGCGAGATCGTATGTTTTAAAGGAACTATAGTAATTTCGAAATCGAAGGGAATAATGACAATTTATATTTAACTTCCGTTCATCACAAATTTCTTTGTAATTATATTTCTTTTATTTCTTTCATTTAAATTTTAGTAGTTTCCTTTAACGAATATAAAATCGTGTAATTAATTATTAATTACATAATCTCTTATAGGAAAAATGATCGCGCGATGACAAGACGACGAACGTCAATTGGCTGTTACAACACAACCAGTATTTTAAAGTTAAATAATTATCTCGACATCAAAATAGGGCATTTAACCCTTTCGGTATATTTGAATGAAATCATGCGAGTCTTCTTTTTTTCTTTGAAAAAAATTTCATATTTATTCGCACGTTCTTGATCATTTATTTCTCATTATATATGTATATATATATATATATACACACATATATATAAAGAGAATAAAAAAAAAGAAATTAATAAAAGATAATACGCTAAGTATTCTTAGTCGTCTACAAATCTAAACATCCTTCTATGCTACATCACAATCAACGTAGTAGTAAAATATGTTACATATCGGAGATAATAGATAGAAATAGAAAAAAATATATAGAGAAGAAATAGAGAAAAAAGAAATTGAAAGAAAGAAAAAAAAACCAAAAGAGAGAGAGAGAGTGAGAGAGAGAGGGAAAGAGAATAAAATATACGTGTGTGGTTTATCCTCAATTCACGGTACATCATCTACATGCACACGTATATACACAAATATACGCAATAATATTTAACATAAGCAACAAAAAAAAATAAATATATGTATATGTATATATATATATATATATATATATATGAATTGTGTGTAAATAATATTAGGAGAGACATTTTAATCGTAATATAAAATCATAGATAGTAATAAAAGTATGTAACTATACTTTGGCGTTTTCGTTCGAGTTTTAACAAAGAAGAAAGAAAACAAAAAAAAATAAAAAAGGAAATAAAATAAATAAAAAAAAAAAAACAATTACGGAGCACTTGCAATCGAAAATCATTCGAAAGTGAAAGACAGAAATAATAAGAGAAGAAACAAAAGAAGAAGAAGAAAAAGAAAGAACGAGATTTATCAAAAGTCTTCTCACGAGAGGGGAGGAAGAAGGAGATCTTTTAAACAAACGTGCAAAGATCAATCGAAGAAGATTAAGAATAAGAAACGCAATAAGATCTAAGAGAGCGACTAGCGACAAAATTGTTTTTTGTGCTTTATTTGTTTCTGTCCGACTGTTCAGTCTTATTAAGAGAGATAGAGAGAGAGAGAGAGAGAGATAGAGAGATAGAGAGAGAAAGGATAAAGAGAAAGAAATAAAACGAAATAAAATATAATCTAATCGAGGACAATAAAAAACAGGATTTGATGAGTTGCACGATGTAATCCTGCTAGAGAGAAAATATCGAGGATAAAGTCATAATAATAATGTACTTTATAGTTTTTGTTTTGTCGTTTCTTTTTTTTTAGATCAAAATAAGCAATAAGATTAAATAAAAAAGAAATAACGAGGGGGCTGGCGAGGGGGTGTAGGGGGGGGGGAGAGGTTTGGCTCGTTCGTCAAGGAAATTGGCGCGCAAGAGCTTAAATGAAGAAATTCGCAGAGCGTGTATTAGAGTAGGGAAGTTTACTTTGGTAATGACTAGGTCATACGCTATCGCCACGTTACGATAGTTATCGAGCGTAAATGAATTTCGTGCGTTTATGCATTACGTGTATGCGTAAATGTTAGTTCTAGGTAAACATTAGAAATATTATAAATTCATTAATTAGCAAAACTAATCGTCGTTATATGGCTGTATATATGTATACTGTTGCATTGTATATTCCAAGTAATAGAAAAATAATAACTGAATATATTAACCCCGAATACGGCACGAAGATTATAAGAAGATACGAGTACGATTGATTCGGTTGCTCGTTTTCATCGAATAACGAATCGAAATGAGAAAACAAGATGATGAAAAAAAAAAGAAGATAAGAGAGAGAGATTTAATAACGAAAATTGATTTATGTAGTATCTAGTACAATTGGCTTACAAGGGCTATCTCATGTGGTGCTAACTTCAGATTTTCTTCAAACTTTTCACACTTGCAATAAAATTAATAATTTATAAATAGAATAACAAAACGATAAATATTTGTTTAGAGATGCAATGTATGTTCCTTATGGACCACTAAAAGTGTGCAAAGTTTGAAACAAATCTGAGAGTTCACCAACCGATACTGCCCTTGTTAGTTACGTGGAAATACTAGTTTATGTCAGATCATTTAAGTCAAGTAACCATGAACACATTTGGTACATGGATGGGGGGTGGCCCCTTCAGGAAAAAAAACCGTTTGCTTCTGACTCTAGAGAAGCGGGTAAAAGACGACCACTCTTTTAAAGGGAGAATAATAATAAAACCAATTAAATATAGGTTTCTCTCTCTCTCTCTCTCTCTCTCTCTCTCTCTCTCTCTCTTTCTCTCCCTCTCATTTTCTTTTTTCATTTTGTTATTTCTTCTATTCCATATCGTATCAGGTTAAAATTGAATACGATAATTGGCGGGTCTTGGTATCGATCTCGCCTTGATAGGCGACAAAGATGAGATAGAGGTTTCACTGCTCGCAGTGCCACCAGAATCTCGTCCTCCGCTCTTACTACTGACGGTACTTCCCGTACTCTGTCCACGCGAGCCCGTTTGCTTTCTGAGAGCACCTTTGCTGTTAGCAGAAGCGTCGCCGTCGCTCAAACGACCGTACTCTCCGATTCTACGCGAGGGTGGAGGTATCAAGGAACGATTTTGTCCGTCCCTGTGTTTAACGTCGTTCCCGGTCGTTAACTTCTTTTTCTCCGTATCACCTTGAAGTCGTTCGTACTCGTGACCCGACGTCGACGTAGGTTTCTTCAAAGAACTGCTGTTCTGAACGTAACTTACATCCGTACCAAGTGACGACTTCTTCCTACGCTGCGCCTTCGCGTCGAACCTTCCATATTCCAAAGTGCAATTACCAGAATCCCGACCCTTGCTCACCGACGAATCCAAAACCGGACCTGGATCTGACTTCTTACGCGTTTCCGTATCGCTCAAACGACAATAACGCGAATTAGTTGACTTCAAACTTCTCGGTGGTCGTGGAAGGGAACTCGGTGGAAGACTACCAGCCCGACGTGGTTCACCCTCCTGCATTCTCTGTCTCTGTGAACTTCTACCTTGCTTTTCCAGCAACAACATCTCTTCTGGCTTCCCATCCGACAATCTTGAAACGGTACCCTTCAGTCTTGTACTCGCAGTCGCGAATTCCATTATACCGGCTGATGCATCCCCTCCAGAATCATCCAACAAACGACTCTTACTCGATACGGTACTCGAACTACCTGCACTCTCTACACCCGCCAATAATGGCTTGGGTATTTTTCCCTTTCGCGACGCAGTGCCTGGATTAGAGAATCCTGGAAAACAGCAAAGTGCCCGCTGAAACAAGAGAGAAAAACGCCTACGTTGGAAAGGAATAACCGGAGGACCTGGAACGGAGTTAGTGCTCGCCACAACAGCGCATGCACACTCAAGGAGGGTGGGGGTGTTGGATCGGTTTTGAATTTGGTATTGGAATTAGTGGGATATTCTGTCAAGGAGAATACTCGAGATTAATTTTCGCGTGCCAATTCACAACAATCTTTATCTATTTTTTTTTATAATTTATGTTTAATTCGTTTTTACGTTTGATTAGTATATCGAAAGTAATACGTAACAGTTAGGATTCTTATAGTTCGTCAATTTTCATTCGATAAATGTTTTTTCGTTAGATCACACAGTGTTATGCAAATCTTGACAATAGTAATACTGTAATAGGAAATAGTAAACACGTTTTCTATACGTTACATTTGATTTTTTTTTCACTTGATCGAATTATCCGTAAAAAGGATAAATGATGAATACAAAGGATATTTGAAAAATGTTTATCGTTAATCGTATTAACTATTTCCATTTTATTCAAAAATACTAACTCAAACACAACACGAACACAAAAATACCTTGACGTTGATCTGTAAAATTTTCATAAATTTCTTTCTGCAACGGCTATTAAAAGTAGAGCTAAATAAATTAATGTGTAATTTTACGCAAAATTGAATCGACTTCAATATTGCGTGTATATGAAAACTCACGAGTGCATAGGTAGAAGAATGTTTCACCATAGAACAACAGTGGCACTTTTAACTTTCATATTTCCTGCTTATAATTCTTTTTTGTATGAATTAACTTAATAAGAAAATATTTTTTACCAGTCTCGGTAAAAGATTTTCGAAAATATGATTACACGCAAATTGTTCTGCCTACCTTGCTGAGTAACTGCGAATCTAATTCTTTCAACTGATCGTCAAGGCTTTTGTTTGTTTGTTCAAAGCTTCCTTGTTTTCGATATTTGTAACTGTCTGTGACTCCATAAGATCCAGTACTACCATAACCACTTCCAGCTCCTAAAACGCTGCTTACTATAAACAAAATTAATGAAGATATGTAATTGTAATTTAAAATACTATGTGAAACAGAACAACAGAACAGAACAGAAACAATTTAAAATACTGAAGAGAGAATTAATCATTGAAATCGTATTTTTGTTTCTAATTATTTTACCAAGTTCTGGTGTACTTGTCAGTGCAGTATGATGATCTGCCGACGTACTTGAATGAGATGAATGTGCAGCAGGATAACTGCCAACTCCACTACTACTACTATTATCTTTGTCGTATGTGTGTTTTTGCAAAACTCTTATCATAGCATCCTTTTCGGCTAACTTCGACTCCAAATCTTTCATTCTATTTATATAAGATATTATCATGATATAATTTAACATGATATGTATGTGCATACATTCATAATATTTTAATATTTTTAAATTTACCTCGATTCGAGATCAGTTAATTTCTTTTGCGCTGCATGGACTTCATCCATATGTCGCATTTTATCGGAACGAGCTTCTGCGATTAATTTTTCTGCATCTTGACTGTTTTTTTCCAAAGCGGCAATTTTCGCATCCCTAAACAATCAATATTTATGTTTAACTGTTTCGAATTATTTTAACATTTATCATATGTACCGTTAATTATAAAAGTGGATTGAGTCAAAATATTGCAAAAAATGTATTATATTAAAAAATAAATAAATGAAAATTATTTATAATATCAAATATAAATTATATTAAATTTTTGAACTTAGTCTCCTGTTATAATTACCGGCACATATAAGTATAACGTTTGATTAAAAAGTATAAACGAACTTTGGTAGACTAGCTGCATCTATAGCAGCTTGCCTTAACGCACTTTCTTCGAGATAACGTTGTTCCCATTTAGCCACGTCACCCTCGAGGGACATAATTTTTTCATCTCGTTCACGTAACCGTCGTTTCAAATCAGTGATAGTTTCACCAGTCGAAGATTGTTCGTTATTGTTACCACCACCACCTCCTCCCTCTCTTAATTCTTTTTCGAGCTGACCTCTCAATTGTCTTTCGGTTTCTTCCCGTCTATCGCTTGACGCTTGAAGAGAAGATAAAGCTCGTTGAAGTTGTCCGACTCTTTCTACATATACTTGCTTTTTTCGACACTACAAAACGATTAAACATCTAAACGTTAATAATATATATACTTATTAATCAAAATAATAATTTATCGAGAATTCAAATTGTGTACCTCTTCTTCAAGGCGTACAACGTTCCCCTGTGCATTGGTAAGAGCAGTGTCCAAAATATCAATATGTGTGCGTTGTTCTTGTAACGTTGCCCTTTGTGCGGTTAATTCTATTTCTTGCCTTTCCTTAGCTGCAGCTAACTCTTTATCTATGTAAAGTTTAAAATAAAAGAAGTTAACATAATAAATAAATAATAAATAAATAAATTTGAAAAATTTGAAAAAATATAAAGTAAAATCGACATACTTTGTGTGATTAGCTGTCCAATAAGCAATTCACGTTGCGTCAATTCTTTTTTCATTGATTCTACGATCGGAGGACTATCTGTTCGAGAAGATAACAAATCGATTTGATCCCTTAATGCACGATTTAATTCTGTCAATCGTCTACAGTCATTTTGTAACCTCAATCTAGCTGCCCGCTCAAGTTTTTCTCTTCGCTCGCAAGAAGCAGCTAGTTCCTCGTGTGCGCGATGGACCTTTGATATTTCTTGTTCCAACTTTTCAGATTTAGCTACATTGTTGTAAAGACGTTCTACTTCTAACTTTAAGGCACTGTTTTCTTGGATCACTATCTGAATGATTTCAGATTGTGGCCAGGTTTCACCCATTGCTGATCCTACTTCTTCCCGACCTTTGGTTTGAGGTCTAACAAACGATAGATCAATTATACTACATGAATTAAAGGATTAACCCTTTGATCTCGTAGGTCACACTCGAAGTGACGACAATAATCATTTACTGTTATGACATGTTTCAAATTTACTAATATAGATCTATGGAATGCTAATATAAATTATAATAGCTCAGGCTATTCATTACAAATAGACACGTAATAGTATTGCAAAAATATTAAGAGTTCAAAAGTTTAATATATATAGAAATATTAATATTACTTATATTATAATACCTAGGGGAAGTAGCACGTGGGTCATAAGATGTCATTTCAATGTCTCGTTTACCAATTCTAGATAAGTCAGGCTGTGATCTTGACATTGCTAATTTTTCATTAGGTCCAAGGAATCTAAGTTTATTTTTCAAAGACAGGAGAGCTGGAGTATAAGTTTGTGGTGGTCCATCTTCGAATTCATTGTCATCCGCTTTACCTCTTTCGCTTTCTCTCATTCTTACTTCTATACTCCCTCCATTATTTACTAGTTTACTATAAGAAGGCACTTTTACTTCCTTAGCGAGATGCTTTAAAACCTGCTTACAAAAATAATTATTAATTCTTCTATTTAAAATTCAATTGAATAATATTTAAAACATGTTAGTGCATTCCTTTTACTGGTTAAATATCTATACTAGGATCACCTGTGATTGACTAAGGTAATCATCAGGTATGTCTGTAATTTCTTGACAACCTCCACTTCCGGATTGTTCATAAAGATGTTCTTCATGAGGCATGTTTGATATTGATTGCATTGTAGGGCTATTTGAATGTCCTTTACCACCACCATCGCAGTACACGTAACCCATATCTCCATGTTCTCTTACTATACCCGATAATCTAATAATAATAATAATAGGATGCAAAAGAAATAATTATAATGAATATTGAAATTTATGTATAAATGTTTTCCTTTATGGATTTAATAATTTTTTCAACAAATTTTCTATTTTTACTTTTTTTTTGTGATACCATTTGAATAATCTTTACCTTCCAGGTGGTGTCCATGAATTGTCATCGTTTGCATTATGAATAATAAGCGTGTTGTACGAACTTGTGGAAATATCCAAGCTGCTTCTATTAGAACCTACACTGGTACGATTGCTTAAATTATCTTTCAAACTGTTTCTGTTAGATCCATTGATACTGTCTTTGAGACTATTTCGATTAGAACCATTTAAACTCTCCTTTAAACTGTTTCTGTTTGAACCATTCAAACTGTCCTTCAAACTATTTCTATTGAGTAGATTACCCTATGTTTTAACAAAAGAATTTCTTATGTAACGTAACATCGATTGTATAGTAGTAGGCTTGAACAGCATGCAATCAAGTAAATGGACTATTTTTCTCTGTAATATCCATACCCAATAACAAGTTAGTTATTTTTTTTCTCTTTATGAAACTTTCAAATTAATCCTAAATTAAAATTTCACGTCATGATAAATTTTTTAACATATTTGACCATTCTAATAATTTTGTTTATATAAAAATATATTTATACGAAATGTATTATATTTACTTGAATATTGGGTATATTTTCTTTATGGCTGGAAGATCTAGATGGGCTTTGTTGTTGATTTTCTTGACCTTGTGGTTCTTGACGTGCAGTATGTCGGATGACATATCGTTCTTCGTTACTTAAATTTTCATTTGAAGTTGAAACATCTGTATCACTACCGCTTAGGCTTTGAGGTAAACCACCTAATATAATTTAGCATTGATGAAGCATTAAAAAAATCAAATTTGATATTTTATATAATTTGTAACAAGAGAACAATTAGAAATTGTACCTTGCATCGACAACTGCTTTCTTTGTATATTATTATTAGAAAACGGAAGAAACCTGCCAGTTTGTTGAATCGAGCTCATGATCGGTGTTATTTCATTTAGATTTCTTAGGTTTCATCTGGAAATAAATATTCAATTTATTTCAAATCTCAATGTAATTTAAATCAATTAAAATAACACAAATAAAATTGTTTATTTTAATTATATATATTTTCTTATAATACATATTTAATTGATATAAAAACTTATACTTTGTTAATAAATCGAATGGAAATATATTGAAATTTATTATTTCTAATTACTACCTAAAATTTAAATAACATAAGTTAGTACATTGACTTTTAAATAGAATCAATGAAGAATTATATAAAAAAAAAAATAAACTAATAGAAAACAAACAAATTCATGTCAAGATATCACCGAACTTGAATTGCATTCTACTATCCTAAAACACTATTTCTTAAAAGACGTTTCTCTAGAATATCATTGTTTCCTTAAAACACATACTCCTTTTATATATATTCGCTTTTTTCTTTAAGTTTCTATTCACAAGAAGAACACAATGTAACGTTCGAACACTTAATCTCTTCGTGTAAGAAAATCTTAAATGCATACGGACGAAAGGATATTTAAAACTACGTTTGCAGATTAATCGTGGTTACGTGCTAGCATGTCACGGACACGTAAAAAAACACGGAGCCGCCGTGGAATGCAGTCCTATTCGTGCGATTCATATTTGACATTACTGCTTGGAGAACTAAAAGGCGCGAGCGAGACAGAGACAGAGATAGAGACAAAGAGAGAGAGAAAGAGAAAGAGAGAGAGAGAGAGAAAGAGAAAGAGAAAAAGAGAGGGAGTAAGAAACAAGGAATGGAGAAGGGATAAAAAGAGAAAGGGGAAGATACATTCTTAGGATGAACGCATAACTAGAAGAGAAACGGAAGAAGCATCGTAGCAGTAGCAAAGCAGAACATTTTGACAGAGGAGGTGTCAACTTTTTGGAATCCTGATTATCTCGAGACATTGAATTTTTACATTATTACGAAACATTAAACGCGTTTGTAGCTCGTATATTAGACACTTGGTCCGAACTCTCTTTCTTTCTTTCTTTCTTTTTTTTCTTTCTTTCTTTCTCTTTCTTTCTCTCTCTCTCTCTTTTTCTCTCCCTCTCTCTCTATTTATCTCTGTTTCTCTATCTCTCTCTTAGGGTTAATATCCGCTCGTAAAAATATTTCCCCTCCGATCGCGAATCTTATCATTCTCATCTGTGTAGTATTTTTACAGCTTTTCGGAACTGGTACTACTCTACAGCTGCATAAATAAACAAAAGAAGCATCCTCGTAGCACGGCTATTGGAAGGTTCCACGTGCCGAGTATGGTATAACTACGATCGATTTGACTCTAATAATTATCATTCAATTACTCACACGACATGAAAATGCGACTACGAAACCGAATATATCACGATTTATTTCAATGAATTGGTACACTTCACTCTCCGCGCACGAGAAATAAAAATGCATGTATTTCTTGCATTCTTCGGTAGAGGGTGACACGCGCAAAAGGGGGGCATACTCCTCCAAGGTGATAATTCCTTTCGTTACTCACCACACGTCATTTTTCATCCGCCATTTTGTTCGTTTTCAAGTAAATGGAAATATATAGTTTTCATCAAAAATATTTATCTATAAAGATTATGACGTGAATAATAAAGAAAATACGTAATATTTGTGGACACATTGGAATTGTTTTGAATGTAAAGAATAAGAAATTAAACATCGATCTGATTGGATTATTTGATTCACCAATCATGGCGTACTTTTTAATAACCAATCACAAAGAGTCAGGATGTTAAACTATGTTCGCGTTTACTACGCAGTCTTGGATTAGCAGCGTTCGTGTTTGGTACGCCCATGAAGTCGAAGAAACGAATGTTCGTTGGTCAGTAATCGCCATTTTCTTAATCTTATGTATAAATTTATATTTTGAGATTAGAGGAGAGAACTTTACGACGACAGGAAGAACAACGACAACGACGAAGACGGAAGAACGTGTAAGCGAGACGTCGGAGTTTTACAACGAACGCGATGAATCAATCACGAAATTTCACGTCGTTGTTGAATCCGAGTTATTTGCAGAATGCGCAGCAAAACGCTGCAACTGCTAACGCGGCTGCTGCAGCAGCAGCCGCAGCTGCTGCGGTGAGTGCAGCGATCGCTAATGGAACACCTCTCAACGCTAATAACAATTCTACAACACAAAGCAGAAAGCGCGAAGCCGACAGTGCGTACACCAACGTCCCCCCTTCTTTCTATTAACTAATATACATATATATATATATATATCCAATATATATATATATATATATATATGTATCTACTATTATTATTTTATAATATATATTGTAATAATTTTGTTCAATATTTGTTATGTATACATTACTTTATTGCAATATAATTTTCTACAGATTCTTTAAATATTAATGCTATTGCATATTGCATACATATAATATTCTATTGCATTTCAATCTTGTAGTATTTCTATCATAAAAGAAAACCTGTTTATTAGTTTGAAAATAATTGGATTATTATCTTAGGCGATGTTAAGCAGGAGAAAGAAACGAAAGAGGAACGTAGGAAGAGGAGGAAAACTAGATGGAGTGGTAGTGAACATGACAAAACCTTTATACCCGGGATGCCTACAGTTCTACCGACTAATCTGACCCCTGAACAGGAGAAAGCTTATCTCTGTAAGTAATATTTTACATGTGTATTATAATAATTCATATCGTTTAGTCTTAATACACTATTATATAGATAGAGAATGTTTTTTAAGTCAGACTTTTGTATATAAATTTCCAATATTTATTTTTTCAAGTATAATATCATTATAAATTATACATTATTATGTAAGTATAAATATGTGTGCCAGTAAGTACTTGTAGATACGAGAGGTAAGGCTAACTTTTTTTTCTAAGAAGTAAATAGATCATGGATTTCGATAATAAGGATTGCCAATTATTACAAATAATTAAAATTATAGTACGATTATTGCAAATTTGTACTTTGTTTTTATAATATAAATTTAATTATAAAAATTGCAAAGTTTCTTAACATTTCTAAAATATGAATACGTTTAGTTTTAATAATTCTATCTTTTGAAAAATGTGTTCTTTTAAGGCACAAACCTTGATATCCAAATCTTGTAATAAAAAAGAAAAAAAAAAATTAATATCTTTCATCTGTGGATATATTCCAAGCTTAATAGGAAATTTATTCTTAAAAGGTTTATGTGTTGTTTTATATTTTAAAATCATGATTAAATTATAAAACGTATACGGTTGTAGCAAATTGGCAATGTCTAACTGTTGGGGTTTCTGCCCCCTCTAACCCGTTGGTTTACAGTTCAGCTGCAAATTGAGGAAATCAGCAGGAAGCTACGCACTGGAGATCTTGGAATACCACTTAATCCTGAGGAAAGGTTTGAACAAAACTTACATACCAAAAATGACCATTACATATCTACAATCCTATCTACTACAGCAGCCCATAATACAGGCGTCTTAAAATATCTAAATGGCTACAATTGAATTAATATGGGATACTGATGTCCATTTGAAAAGAATGGACTAGTAAATAGCCACCACGCAGCACAGAAGATGAATTTTGATAACATTGGTTTGCCCTAATCAATTTCTTTTATTAATTCATTTTTTACTAAGCACTGCTACCAGATAAATTGTGACATACTTTAAATATTGAAATAATCAATATTAATAATTCAATAGATACATATATATGATATACATACATATATATAGATATATATATATTAACTTGAGAAAATAAAACATTAGTGGCAGTGCTTAATCTGCAGTGGGTATCCTAGTTCATATATTTTTTAAATAATCATTGTCTTGCATATGTAGAACGAATCTGAGGTAGTCCGATGTAAATGGGGTTTTTATAAAGTTATTGAAAAACATATTTACTGAGTCGACAGTTCACAAAATATTTACAAAATATTTACTCGATAACATACAATGCAAATGGATGCATGGGTCACTTTGAACATAATTATCTCTCTCTTTCTCTCTCTTTCTCTCCCTTTCTCTTTCTCTCTATTTAGGCTGCCGTGATTTGCACGGCAATTTAAATCTATCAAATACTAATAATTTTAATAAGGCGATAATAATAATAATAATTATAATAATAATAATAATAATAATAATAATAATAATAATAATAATAATAGGGAAATTTTATTATTGATCAACCACAGCAGATATTATAATAATTAATTAACGATTTTATCGAGTAGATTTCAGGAAAATATTGGATAATAAAAATTACATCTGCTAACATAAGCATATCTTTGTAACTTTCATTGTTACATTACTTTCAGGTGCAACTTGAAATATAAACTTAAATAATTTTTCTAATAAATTGATTTACTCCAATAGGTTTAACTTCTCTGATTTTAGCTGGAACCATTATGTTATGTCTTTGTGTTTCATTAGTATTACACGTAATAGTAAAGTATATAAGATGATTATAACTAATCTGTCAGAAATTATTTCCTAATAATCACAGGGTCTATCTCTTAGCAGCTGACATCATACCGATTTCTGCCGTGCACAAACGCGCAGTCTTCCAGTGGTTACCTACTATAGAATAATAAACATATAGCAATGCTACTATTAACGATAGTATATTTTTTATCTTCTGTTCTGATACCTTGGCATTGTTGGCAAACTTTATATTGTTTGTATCTATAAATTATTAGGCAATGTGATTATAACAAAAAAAAACATGATAAACTCTTTTAATTGTCTCATCTTATTTTAATTTCACAAGACTAGTTTATCGCATTTCTAAAATGTTTGTTATCTTCTATAGTTAAACATTTTTATTTATTCTTTTTATATTTTATTTTGTTTACTTTTATGATTTGATTTTTTGCTAATTATATTTTAATTCAATTCTTTTTTGAAACTAACTTTTCATGCTTACAATCAAATTAAATAAAATTCCAACATAGTCAAAGAGTATCAGGTACATAGTAAAGAAAAATCGTCTTAAACTTATTAATGATAAAAATTCACTAAAATCAAAATTTATTTAGACTTCAAAAAAACTACTGCTCCATCAAAATTTATTCACTTAATCACACAATCGTAGTAGGTTCAGGTTGCTTGTATGCTAGTACCATCTTAATGAAAACTTTGTATCTTGACAATTGTTTATTTTTTTTCAGATCTCCATCACCAGAGCCAATATACAGTAGTGATGGTAAACGGTTAAATACAAGAGAATATCGTACAAGACGTAAATTGGAAGAAGAACGACACAATCTCATACAGAAGATTCTCAAAATAAATCCGGAATTTAAGCCACCACCAGATTACAAGTATATATACATATATTATTCATTATCTAATATTTTATATTTATAATTTGTAATATTTATTGACTGTATTTGGTCAAACATATATGTAACGTTTATATATATTTTTAGGCCTCCAATCATACGTGTTCACGATAAAGTAATGATTCCGCAAGAAGAACATCCAGACATAAACTTTGTTGGTTTACTTATTGGACCACGTGGGAATACTTTGAAATGTTAGCATTCTTAGTTAAATTAATATTTGTCGCTCTTTGTTTTATATTTAACAACAATTTTTTTTGTATTTGCAGCAATGGAAAAAGAAACTGGTGCTAAAATAATTATTCGCGGTAAAGGTTCTGTCAAAGAAGGGAAAGTAGGTAGAAAAGATGGGCAACCTTTACCGGGAGAAGATGAACCGTTGCATGCTTATATAACTGCAAATAATTTAGAAGCCGTAAAGAAGGCTGTTGAAAGAGTAAGTTCAATTTTTTTGTCTTTCAAATTAACTATCTCTATTTCATAACTCACAATCATTACTTCTATTTTATTTTCAGATCCACGAAATTATAAGACAAGGCGTGGAAGTTCCTGAAGGTCAAAATGATTTACGACGTAATCAATTGAGAGAGTTAGCATTACTTAATGGAACATTGCGTGAAAACGATGGTCCTCGATGTACGAATTGTGGTGCATCGGATCATAAATCATGGCTTGTACGTAGTAGTGTTAATTCATAATTAAAGAATTACAGATTATTGTTATATGTGTATTAAAAATGAGCTTATTTTTTTTGCAGTGCCCAGACAAACCAAATGTTACCAATAATATAGTATGTTCAAGTTGTGGAGGGGCTGGCCACATTGCACGAGATTGTAGATCTAAACGTCCTGGACAAGGTGGTCCAGCAGCTGCAGGAATGGGAGGAATGGGACCAGGGGGAGATAAAGCAAAGATAGATGAAGAATATATGTCTCTTATGGCAGAATTGGGTGAAGGTCCACCACCGGATAGATCAAAGTCTGGACAAACTCGACAACCTGCACCAAATCCAAATTACCCTGGATTATTCGATAGGTATACACCATTTACAATAAATATATAATGATTGTAATATTTGGATTTAAAAGTTTGAATATCATCATACTGTTTTTATGATGTAGGCAACAGGCACCTCGCGCTCTGATGGCTGCACCGGCACATCCACCACCTCAAATGATGCAAGGTGGGCCTATGATGCCACCACCGGGTATGGCTCCGCCACCATGGAGTCAAGGTGACGTAAATAACATGAATGGAATGAACATGCAGTGGCAACCACCAGTTAGTATGCCGCCACCACCAGGTGTCATGCAACCACCTCCACCTCCTCCTGGATCTACCACTCAACCGAATATTCCTCCATTGATGCCCTGGATGGCTGGGAACAATCAGCCACCACCACCGGGACAGATGCCACCAACGCAAATTCCACCGCCTGGAATGGGTATTCCACCATGGCAGCAAGGGCAGCAAGGACCAATGCGTCCACCGCCTCCTGGTAATAATTAAATTAGGATATATAATATTATTGAGTAAAATAGATAACATTTTAGTGAGCCGTATGCGGCTAGCAGTCCGCAGGTTGATTGCTTTTTATTTTATTAATATCTCTGTGAATACCACAGATTGGAATAATTGAATTAATTCTATTATTAATTACAGGAACGGCACCACCTCCAGGATTTCCAGGGTGGCAACCTCAGCAAATGGGTGGTTGGCCTCCTGCAGCTCCCGTTCCACCACCACCACAGCAGCAACAAACTCCTGCGCCACCAGGAATCGATCTAAATACCTTACCTACATTATTGGCTCAACCACCACCACCTCCACCGCCCACTAGTTAGTGTGAAAAGTAATTAAATCGCACGATTAAATATTTATAATCCTACCCTGTAGGATCACAATTAGGTAGGATTAATAATAGTTGGGGTCCTACCCTCTTAATATTACTCTGTAATATGATAAATTATATGATTTTGTTATATTGAAAGAGACTTGATCATCGAATTTTAGAAATAGTTGATGTATTGAGTTTCCTAATTATAATAGAACGTTATGTCTTGTGAAACTTGGTTTATTCCAAATAGTATTGCGCATAACAAAGATCCAAGTTCTTAATAGTTACTATACAGTGTATTTCCTAAAATACGAACAGTGTGTTAATTACACATTGAGACGACATTAATTACGTGTATTATTGGTATAAAGAGTAGGTGAGGTATTTAGACTCGTTTATCATCGATTATAAACTGAAATAATACTTATCTTTCTTACAAGGAAAGAAACTAATTGTAATACGTTGCGCATTTTTTATAATGCAAAATGTCCCTGTTACGTTAACAATAAAAATCTTGTTAACATTGCACATATAATTATACAAATATCATTTGCTTACTATTTGTATAAATTATATCATCATAGTATTAATTCAGGTTTTTTGCACAGCACATTAGTAATATTAAGCTTAATATGAAGAATAGTAGTAAAGTACTATTCTTATTAGTACAAACTTGCCCAGAGTGTATTGTTTGTGCATATAATGTCCAATTCAGGAGAATATATACGGTAAATAAGTATCAGAGGGAAATAAAAAGCAAAACAAAAAGAAAGTAATAATTTTGCAATATTGAAGAAAAATAACATTCAGAATTTTTCTTAGCTTTATACACGTGTAAAAAGAAATTTATCTAAATTTATATGAATATATGCACAAACATAAAAAGATAGTAAATACCAGAAGTGGCGTGTTTCGAGAATACAGTAGGAATAATATTACTTTAGAATATAGAAGTTATTTTGTAGTTATACAATTAAAAAAAAAAAGTATAGTCAATTATACTTTTAATATCATTTAAAATACCACCTAAGAATAAATGGACATATGTATTTATAAGTTAATTGGATTGCTGCTTTTTCTAACAAATAATGTTTTTATTTTTTATTATGTTGGTGTTTGTTCTATTTATATATACACGATAGAAAAATTAAATTAAAAAATGAAGATACTTATAGATCAATTGTGTGCGTGAACATAAAGAAATCATTAAAATTAGAGAAATTATAAAATATATGAGTAGTCAGGAAAAATGAATGTTTACACTTTTGCTTATGTATTTAATGTACCTTAACTATTTATATGTCCAATATTGAATGAATTATAAATATTAGTTTAGTTGGATTAATTACAGACTATATTGTTTTCAAAAGATAATAATATTAAGCTATTATTATTACGAGTTTATTCCATTAAAAATAGTTTTGTTATTGAATTTGCTATTGGATTGATAATATTGTGAATAAAATCATTCAATTGTATTAATAATCATAAAAACACATTTAATGTTAATAGCATCACATATTAAGACAGAAATGTGTAAAAATATTTACGGGGACAATGCTAGTTTGCTTAATGTTTAATCTGTAAACAATAAAGATATTCATTAAAAATAGTTATATGTAAATACATGTGAACTTCAACAAACAGTCAGAGATTTTATAGCAGTTCATCCTGATGATATTTTGGTGAGTCAACGTTGTTACTCCATACCACAATTTCTAATAATTTTAAATATGTAATTTTGAGACAGAGAGAAAGAGATAGACATACATACGCATACGTTAAGGTTGCATAACGCAATGCTGTCAAATAATGACAAATAATACATAGTAAATAATGATTCCAAATCAACAATATTCTACTACTCGGAATATAACTTTAATTGTTCAATTTTGCTTATAATCATCTTCGTATTTCTAAGTTCACGTATATATTTTCTTGATATTTCTGACGCGTCCCTGAATATAACAAATGAACCTCTCTCTTTCTCTTCTCTCTCTACACTTTACTTCTTCAACTATCTCTCTTACTACGCGAATGCGGTGAAAGGTCAATTTTTTTAAAGTTTAGACTGGAGAAATTTCTACAAGAAAGAAATTAAATTATGTGTAAGAAATGTAACGTACTCTAATCATAAAAGGTGATTGAAAAATTACGAAATTTATTCAAATTAAATTAAATTTGGATTTATTATTATTTGAGATCCGTTTGCGAAATGGATTAACTTCAAATTAATAAAGTTGTATATAGCGTTATATAATTTATCATTGAACGATTATGCAAATTTAGGACATTCAATATTATTAAATCTAATTATCGAGAAAATTAATTTTAATTATTAAAAATGATAGATCCTTAACTATATAAATAAAAGCATTTAAAAATATTACTCGGTCGCTAAAATTAAAAAAGATTCTAATTCATTAAGATTCATTTAATTGCTTTGTATGAGGATTGACAAAACAAATAACTACGAATTGTGTATTCTGTTATAATTTGCAATTTAAATTGCATTCATGAGCGTTCGTTTAATTGCATTTATACGAAATATTATAAATAGGAAATGACTCGATAAAAGACTTTCATTTTTGTCGTTATTTATTAAAATGCAACAAATGCAAATTCTCTCATTTGCACCCCGCATAAACATTAATGAACGATCACGTGAGACAAGGCCATATAATCACCTTGGCGCTCCGCGCCTTCCGAGACAGCACGATCGTCCTTTTCCTGTCGGCTAGAATAGCGGAATTGCCATTTTACAGTTAGCCAATCAGCAACGGTCAACAACCAAGCCGTTTTCGCGGCATAGTAAGTGGATTGAGTGTAGATGACTGACCTTTGACTGTCAACCACCAGTATCCTGATTATTTCTTATTTAAATTTTAACTATTTCTCTCTCCTATATGATCACTTTCGAAAAGGAGGATAATAAGATACAAATTTATTGATTTTTTGAATCACATTAACTATTATTTATTAGGTCCGTATTTCTAAGCATTTTTGGGTCAGTATTCTAAATAAAACTTATTGGTTTTTAAAATAAAATATTAGTATGCATCTATAATCAATATTATTGATTCAACTCTGTGTTCCACAATTACAAATATTAATAAATTAATATTTATTAATTTAATATTTAGCAAAAATTAATATGAACGTTATATTTAATGGACAAAATATTCATATACTGACTATTTATATTACGGAGTACTGTCCTAATAAATAGAAATGTTGACTGCAATTAGACTCGGTCTATTGGATTTATTTGTAAGCTTTTATGTTACGATAGTAATAATGCGAAAAATATCATTAAATTCTCCTCGTAATCCTTAAAAAATAACGAAAAAAATAATTTCGCAGCCGGTAGGATTCGAACCTACGCTCCCAGAGGGAATCTGATTTCGAGTCAGACGCCTTAACCACTCGGCCACGACTGCTTGCGATATAAATGGTTTGCGGTTAGAAGGGTGAAATCAACCCTCTCGCAGATTCAATATAGTTTACAAATATTTTTAAGATTAAAATTTAAAATATTATCAATGAAAATATAGAAAAAATTAAATGATTTATGCTTTCTGATTTATTATTAACTTATTTTTTTGTTAAACACAAATATATACGTAACATATAATTATATATATATTACGAGGAGAATTTAATATCTAACAATACTTTATATGTATTGTTAGATACATAAAAAGATAAAAAAGAATATATTTGAATTGTTAAGTAGATGTAATTAAAAATTTAAATGATAAATATTATATGAATGATTGTTTTGAGAAAAGAAATTGATAAGAAAGTAAAAAAAAAAAAAGAAAGAAAGAGGAAACGTCTTCTGAAATATATGTATGCATATACATACACGTGTGCTGGGGAAGCATGTTTATGCATTTACGTGCAAGCCGATAAAACAGCTGCCTAGTTAGCCGTCAACTTTGCAATCAGCAATCTCTCAAGTAGTAGAGTCGAGTCCGTTTGCGGCTGTTCCAGATTGCGTCCTTGCCGTATAAAGTGCAACGGCATGTGCGTACGTGATGGTATAACGGGTGCTCTCAAATGCCTATTTTTAAGATTTTCCCTCTCCTCATCCTATCATATTTTATATATATTTCCAAAAATATTGATAAATATTCTACAAGAAAGGTGTGTATATTAAATTTCATAAAAAATTATAAAACGATTAATCATTTATAAGCAATTGATTTAAGATACACTTTTCTTCCACATTTAGAAAAATAAATAATTATTCAATAACGAGAGACAGTAATTTGTTAACTGCAACACATATGAGTATAATTATTCCAAATGTTATTAAAATGTAGCACACACACATATTATGCCCTTCTTTTAGATATTTGGTTAATTTATTTTGAGAATTGTGTGGTCACCGAAATAATTCCTTTAGACGAAATTATAAAAAAAGACAAGAAAGGATAAATATCTTTTTCGTAGAAAGCTTCTCGATGTCACGGACGATCGAGAGCGTGAAAGTAAACCGTTAAATAAAAGTAAAGGAAGAATGAAGAGATACCAAATGAAATATACATGTACACGTTACGCATATATGTATATAACTATACACTTATATATATATAAATATATGTAAAGATAGGTAGGTGAAGTATAGCAAAAAGAAAGCGATGGTTTGTCTGTTCGCATAAGAAAGAGGATTTAATTGACAGGACATGACGCGGAAGTGACGTTTTACAAAAACTTGATGAGCTTCGTGGCATAGTGTGCGATCGAGATTTCCTTTTAAAGAATATAACCGTAAGAATGTACATAAGAGAGGAAGATTAACAATTTACCGTAGGATCGAACGTTACGAAATTATGCGGGCTCGTTTGATTTTTTTGTTCATACGATTGGCAATTTTTCTTTATCTTCAATCGGCAATTATCGTTGTTGCGATAAATCAACCGGTAGATCTTTAAATTATCGGTCACCCGTTACACTTGCATTCTTACGAGTCGTACAAGTCCTAGTTCTCTTACTCTCACCCACAACAGTTTCGAGAGTAAATTCCAGAACAAATACACGCGTATATGTATATATATATATATATATATATGTACGTAGATTTCTGTTTAGTTTACGTGTATAAGTTGCCGACTATATCCTATCCAATCTGTCTAGAATCATTTGGAATCGAACTTTACTATGTTCTATGTATTTATATGTATATATACACGTGTATCTACACGCGTGTGGGAGTTACGTGCGTTCGTGTATCGCTCGTAAAATACAAAATCGATTGATTATAACCGATGAGAAGCAAATGTCGTCATTTTGCAAGAACACGGTACGCAATATGACAGCTTACGATTGATATATATATATGTTACTATAATATCTATCGATCTATGAACTACTTTCGCCTTTCTTCGAATATAATCGTGTACGAAAAGTTAGATATTAACTCGTGATAATCATTTTGTCTCTCCTTTCTTTGTTACGTATCTAAATGATTCTATTCATGAATTCAAACAGAGTTTCGGTGTATGAATTTAATTATAATTAATATAATTTTATTTACGCTTGTGTCATTTTAATCATCGCGATGAGTTAAACAGTTGAAAATAGATAACTTTATTCGTACCCCACATTAAGCAATATAATCGTAACGATATAATATTAACCGAGCAAGAAATCGAATGAAAGAATTAAAACAAAAAAAAAAAGATCGACAAACGCGTAGAGAGGCCTAAGTAAGTATATTCCTCGTCCAAAATATCAGATAACATAAAGATACAATTACCGTTAATCGCCGAGATACGGACTTTCACGCGAGTCGATCGCACAGTTTCTTTCAGTTCTTGCAACGTTCTCTATACTAGCGGGGTAGAAGGAATAGAACGCCCCGGTGGGACGGATGAACGATCAAGCGGGCCAAACTAACTGTGTACACAGATCTCTTATATATTTTTATTATTATTTATTCCTCTCGCGATCACAACATCATCTTATCTAAATAATTTCATCAAATTCTAACCTATGATCAGAATTTACAAACTGAGCTTTATCAAACTTCACTTTCCATGGTTTAATATGTTTTAAGACAACTAAATCCAATAGGTACACGTAGTTTGACGTTACTTTCTTTTTTAAATTCTTCAGTTAAAATGGGGATATAATCTTAGCGTTGATTGAGTTCAGTTAATCTGAGAAATAATAAAAAGAAAAAGAGACAGAGAGAGAGAAAGATAAATAGAAATATAAGAAACACATTAGGTACTGTTGCCGTTGCCGTTGCTCACTTTTACTTGAACCAGGAACGAACGGTACTCGATTAGATCGGCAGCCGTCTAGCCTGCCCATCGGGGAATGCTTTCGTAAGGCAGGATGTGTGCGAGATGCCGGAGGGGTCGATTCAATTGAAATTCAATTACAAAACTATTTTCGAGTCTGTGTCCTGGCCTGAATCAAACTACCGGACTTGCAAGGACTCTCGAAGATACCCGAACTCTCTCGTATACATCTTGTAGATTATTATATTTATATCTAGGCTATTCGTATTAAATAGACACGCGTGAATTAATATAAACACGAAAAAGATGTTTGCGGACACGGAGAAAGTGTATATCCAATGATGGTTAAGTTAACCTT